ATGTAGTTCTTTGAATAATCTAAGTGTTATTAATACTATGCGTTGCGGAAAACATGTTAAGAATTGCGCATTACAAAATGTATTTAAAATATATAACTGGTGGTCACACCATTAAATAAACAATAAAATGTATAGTATTTTAATCAATAAAATGTTAAATTTTTAAAATTATGTTTCTTTCCTTTTCCTTCATACATGTATATGGCACTACTACTACACTGAGATGTGTGCGAGACACGCACATCTTTGACGCGGATCAAATTTCTACCTGACGATGGTCGCGAACGAAAGAACATTTCTATACAGTTAGGTACGATAGCGATGGAATAGATTCAACAGGGGTGTCGGTTCGATTGGTTGTATGATGATGGTTTCATATTACGCGTCTTCGTGACTTTGTCATGGCATTGAGATGCGGCGAATGCTGACACGGTCATTTTTTATCTTGACCCATATAATATATCTAACTAATGAAGGTCGCGAAAGAATCGATTTTCATTGTAGTTAAACTAATAGCAGTTTGATAGAACAAACAGGTGGTTTGACAGGTTGTTCGACTGGCGGTTTGACAGATCAGGGTATCGGTTCGACAGGCAGTTTGACAGGCGGTTCGACAGGCGGTTCGATTAAACTGATCAGCTGTATCGGATCGATAGATCAGCTGTATCGGATCGATTGGCGGTTCCGTAAAAGCGTTTTTATATTTACAATTGTTTCAATTTCATTTATATTCTTTATAGCCACTATCATTTCGGAGGAGCGCGTGTGTGATATAACATATACAGGGTGTCCCGTAATGACCGGACTAACGCTTAAGGGTAGATTTTTGAGATCATTTTAAGACAAAAGTTCCAATACCAAAATGTTGAGACTATAATAGTTTTTGAATTATAAGTATTTAAAGTTAACTAATCAGATCGTCTAAAGTTGGCGCGCTCAGGTACGGCACACGCAACTCCTAAAAACAAAAGCTGACTTATCGCCACTTTTATTAATATCGATATAAAGATTACATATGTGAATATAA